ATAACACATCAAATATGTCATTTCCACACTTTCTAGTGACAAATATAATATTATTAATAATTGAATTGAGAACTATTCAATTACTTAAATATCATTTTATATAATTAAAATAATTGGTTTATAACATGTGAACCTAATATAAGTAAATTTGATATTCATTTATTTGAGCAAAAATCAATATCAAGGAGGGTAGAAAATGACATTTCATTTTCTTTTTTCCTATAACTATATTATTATGGGGCTCACTAAAATTTCCATTCATATTTTGTAATTAATAAAGTAAACACATGATTAAATCAGAAAGATAATCATTCTTTTTTTTTCCTTCCCTTTACTACAAAGTAAACGCGCCTCAATATTCAAACAAAATTTGAATTACCAATTACCTAATCACCACTCTCGCTCTTCTATTTATTTATTTTCATAAAACAATTTAATTTGTGCTTATCACGTTGTGGTTGGTAGGTAGAGGAAAATTGAAAAGGTTATACAGGAAATCTTCTCTTAGCAGATCTTGATATGCTGCATGGATAACGTTCAAATTAAGTCAAAACTAGATACATCCTCTCACCAAAAAAAAAAACCTAGATATATCTAATTACTCTTTTTTTTTCAAAAAAAAGTTATTGCAATATTCATTTATAAAAAGTGTTTGCGATATTGGACTAAATCCCTACAAAATTGCTTGATTTGATCTGTCTAATGGCATTAGGGGATTTAGATGAGGTGAAATTTAAGTGAGAAGTTGTGAGTTTAATCTCGTTTTGTATATTAAAAAAAATAAAAATAATTATTTTTTTTAAAGGAAATATATTAATGGGTTTTTAGAAAAAGAAATGGAAAAAGAAGGCGCTGACTATTGTAGTTGATTTGATTTCTTGGTGCCAATTACTCTCTCCTTTTTCTTTTTGCTGGAAAGTGGGAATGATGAATATCATTATTTAATAGAGTCGAATTATTTGAATAATTTTTTTTAACCAAAAACTTATTTGAGTAACTGGGCAATAGACGGGCACAAAATTTATCCACTAAGTGACAAGACAACCTTTTGATCATGAAGAAATTAATATTACTCTAAGTTATTTCTTTTCTTTTTCTTTGATAATTAAGAGACCATTTCTCAGATCAACAATGCAAAAATAATTTTCTAATTTAGGATTTGACACTAAACCATCTCGTTACATTATGAAAAGCAAAATCTTAGAAGTTTCCCATCTACGAAATTAACAAAAGGTTATGTTTTTAAATTTCAACCGAAATAAAATGTTTTGAGATTTTTATTTTATATTTTTTTAGAGTAATCTGCTTTGATAACTGAAATGTACATATGAACAAAGCCGTATGATTTTATTTTATTTTATTTTTTGTTGATGTGATGTGGCATTAGGAATTTGGAAAGAAAGTGGATAAAGAGACAATACCTCGTTCACTTTGTGGATTCGAGTGTTTAATTCGAGTTGAGATTTGATATTTTTTGAGATATTTTCACTGTAGCAGAAAAAGTTAAATGTGACATTTTCTGAGAGCTTTTTACTATAAAAGGGCCCGTTTAGTTAGTTGATTCGAATTTTTAATTCGAGTTGAGATGTGATTTTATGTGAGTGTTTTTTACTGTAGCAAAACTCGAATTCTAAACTCAAATCAGCGAAATGAACAGGGTCTTAAAATTGAAAACTCGAATGGGTGAAACGAATGAGGCCTTAATAATCAACTGCCAATATTGCTTTAAAAAATAAAAAAAAACTGCCAATTTTTTCCCACTTTTTACCCCTAACATGTAACTTCGATGAAACTCTATTATTATTATTATTATTATTATTATTAAAGGAACTTCCAACAAACTTATTAAAGGAAATAAAAGAATAATGGAGAATTTTTACAGCAGGATATACCCTTTTTAAACTGCTAGTAGAAACTGTAATTTTAAAAGTTGAATCAATATTTCAACGAATTGATTTGTGATTAGAGTTTTTGTATCTTGCACTGCAATTTTTCAGGGTGAATCCTCAATATCAAACAATTAAAAACTTAGATCAGCAACAAAAAAAATAAAAACTTAATCCATGAATTAAAATAGCAGTTATTAGTTGGTGGTAAGTCCGTTTATCTTAATTATAAGTTGATAATTCGAGTCAACCTAAGCCCCACTTAAAAATGGTGACATTATCTCTTCTCCTTATATATATATAAAAAAAAAATAGCAGTTCTAAGAGATAGTTAAAAAATCTCTTAATGGAGAATAAAAGCCTTCCCCACTGATTTTTCAGACCAATTATCGTATACATATTTCTAAAGTTAAAAGCAATTACTCTTGATTTATATAGAATACCTACAAAAATTAGCACAATGAAGTACATTGCTCAAAATAAATAAAGTCTTGTTTATTTTATGACTCAACTCATATTATTACAGTAGTTTCTCTCACATAATTTTAAATTTAATTTTTTTATTATAATATTTTTCTCTCACATATCCAAACTAAATTATAATTTGAGTTGTGCAAATTTTCTTGTTCAGAAAGAGAATACAATTGGATTATAGCAAGTATAAGATACTATGTACTAGCTTGGGTAAAAGATAAAAATGGATAACGAATGCTTAACTTGATCTCAAGTGTCTTTGCGTCATATTAATTAGTAAGGACCCGCACTTAGGCTCTATATAGTTTTTATTTTGAGACTAACAAACAGAAAGTTATTGAACACTTGTGATTGCTCAACACGTAACTGGGGGTAAAATTTCTAAACCGTTAAATGCTTTTCAAGAAATCGAAAATGTCAAGTTTACATATTATTTGATTCTAATCTAATCCAAAATTTAAAAACTAATAAACTATGCAACCTTAGATGTCACCAACCATAAAAGTCGGATTTTTTATTTTATTTTATCACACTCAAAAAGGAAAAATAAAAAGGATTAGAGCAAGTATAATAGATTGTGTACTAAATATGGTAAAAAAAAAAAAGATGTATAAAGAATGTTTAAACTAATCTTAAGCATTTTTCCTTAGTAAAGACCACAGCGCACACATGTTACATGTGACAGCTATCAATCTTTTGAGATAAAATAGTCAAGATAGGGTAATTGTGCAGTCTAACAACGTCTGGGGATGGTTGTAGGTGATCATTTATAAGAAATGATATCACCTCTTAATAATATGAGGCCTTTTGAGGTGAACACAAGAATAAAACCGTATGGATTCAGACTCAAAGCGGACAATATCATATTATATAATTGTATGAGTCATTACATTCTAAATGCTTCATCTTATTGTGAGACCAACAACCAGATACTTACAACTGTTTTTCAAGCTATTAATAGTAAAATTCCTCGAAACCCTCAAGTTAAATGTAATTTAATTATAATGTAATAAAAAATTTATAAACACATCGAACCATCCATTTCACCTACTATAGAAGTTAAATTTACATTTTATTTTCATGCTAATAAAAGGATTAGAACAAATATATATTAAACAAAAAAATATAAATGTACTAGCCTAGTATCACCCGATTGATTTTACCTTGGCAACTAGGGTAAAAGAAGGAAAACACATTAATAATACTTAACTAAGAAAAACAACCGCACACGTACGCTTAGTTTGGTAATACTTTTTCTTCCTAAAATCAGCTTCTACTTGTAGCAAAAGTTGATTTTAGTATTTGGTAAATCTCCTCAAAAATGCTTTTTGAAAATTTTTTTAAGAATCTACAACCAAAATCAGAAGCAACTTAAAGACAACTTTAGCTTTTAAATTGTGTGGGAATCAGCATAGTATAATTAATGAATATACATTATATTGTAATTATATATATTATATTATAGTATAACATAATATAATCGTTATTTTTAATTATTTCAGTTATTATTTTAATAATATTATTATATTATATATCATAATTATATAATAATAGTTTTTCGTATTATATTAAATATAATAATAAATATATATTATATTATAGTATAATGTAATATAGTCGTAATTTCATAGTAATTCAACCTCATAATTTATCAAATGCTATTACACTGATTTTGAAACCAACATAGCTACTATAATTATAGTTTACTAAACACTCAGTTATTTTTTATAACAACTTCTTATTCATTTAGCACAGTTAAAAATAATTTTTTTAAAATTTAGAGCACTACCAAATTAAGTCATAATTTTCACATAATTTGTGCTGTGGGACCAACAAATAGATGCTATTGAACACTTGTGATTGCACAACACACAATCGGTGGTAAAAATTATAAACGAAAAATATTTATTATTTTTTTATCATTTTCTGCATTAATTATTTTTTATGTGGACTCAACTATTTTATTTATTTTTAAATAATAATAAATTATATTAATAGATTTTACAAAAATAACAAAAATAGTGACGCCAAGAGTGTAATCAAAACCGTCAATGCTTTTAGTGGAATCGAAACCGTCAAGTCTATAAACAGTGTAATCGAAACCGTCAGGTCTATATACGATATAATCATTAATGTAATATCTGAAATTTTAGAAACGCATGCAACCCTAGATGCCACCTACCATAAATATCAGATTTTTTTTTCATTTTTTTTTATTTTTCAAGAAACAAAAAAATAATAATAATAATTAGAAAATAAAAAGGAGAGAGAGATTGGAAGAAAAGGAAAATCCTAATTAGAAGAGGTGGTGGGGACCAGACCAAGGGCCATGATCCGATCACATAAAAGGGAACAGGATAAGTTAAAAGGATGTGGATGTCAAATGGATATTTCTGGTCACTGTCCCCGCCACGTCATCACGAACGTGTCAAACCGCGTTCCTCTCTCTCGTCCACGCCGCCACCTCCGGTGTTCTCTCTCCGCCGCACCCATACATCCCTCCTCCTTTTCTCTCTCTAAAATCCACGTGTCCTTGCACAAATACACATATACATACATATATGTAAACACACATATCTATATATATATATGTGCATATCTATTATATATATATATATATATATATAACTGCGAGCGTGTTCAAGACACAATTCTTTTTTAATTAGCAAAAAAAACAATTCTTTTTTGTTTCTCTCTTTCTCTGTCTATCCTAATTCCTAATTTCCCAAACTCTCTCTCTCTAGAAGGACACCCAACAGTCGCAACCTTTGTTGCCTCTGTTCTTCTTAACCGTCACCATCTTAAACCTACTTATCCTGCGCACCCTCTGGATAGTCTTGGCCGATTGATGAAAGCAAGGCCCGTGATTTGGAAACTCAAGAGACGACGGCGACGAATCGGAGAAGGCTAAATCCGTGACAAAAAAGGTTTCTTTTTTGGGTGGGCCGATGGAGGTCTTGGTAGGTTCCACCTTCGGCATCGACGTCTCCTCGTCCCAGGCGTACGTTAGAGAGGCCGCACAGGATAACCTCGCCGCCGTGGCTTCCTGCATCGGAGTCGGGTCGGGCTCGCGGATCTGCGCTCCGGATAAGGCTCCGGTCGAAGACTCCTCTGATAGTTCGTCGTCGATCGGAGCTCCGGACGACAGCGACGAAGAAGAAGACGACGCGTCGTTTAAGGGCGACGCCGACAAAGACGAGGCACAGAACAAGTTTCGCGGTCGGTCGTTCGGTTCTCTTGCTTC